CTCCTTATCCAATAGGTGGCGCTGTATTCTAACTTAACATATTTTATTAGTTTTTATTCATACTTGTAAACAAAAATCCACCCCCTCCCAATAACAAGATCGGTTACGAATTCTCGCACTAAGATAAACTTTCGGAAATACATTTATGTGCAGGTCAGCTCTTTTCCACAGTCAAAAATTAATAAGAAAAGAACCAGATTGACTGATAAGAATGTACAACCCACGATGAAGATAATTTCTCCAAGGATACAAACTTTGTGAGAATCGAAATGCTACCTAATATCAAGCTATAGTAAAAAATAAAAAGTTTATAATTGTTTACATACAAATTAATGTATTTTTATTAATATGCCAAGGGAAAATTCAATAAATAGAGATTTGGTTGCTGTTTATTCTCAAGTTTTGTCTCACTAAATTTTTGTCTCCAAAATACATTTTCATAATTTTTTTAGTTTAACTATTAAAATGAGTTTTTTAATGATTAATTAGACATGTTAGAATTATTTAAAAGTAATATCAGTCAATACTCACATTATATATCAATTTAACAGTTAATGTTCATATTACAAAATAAAGCCAATGTTCATATTACAAAATGTAGCCAATACAAATCTCTCACAGGACCAAACTTTAAAAATAAATTTGAATGTTTGTCTTTTGAGATGTTACTATTATATATGCTTTCATAGATATAGAAATTTATAATTAAAATTCCATTCAAGAAATTGTAATTTGAAATTTTATTTGTAATTTAAATTTAATGCAAGCAAAATTTATAATTTAACTAAAATATTTATTTTGTTAATAATATTTTCCATTTTGTTTGAAAACAAAATATGGCCTGTCAGCTGTACTAATTTTACTAATTTCATGCATTCAGCCTGCATGCAGTTTGAGTTTGAGAGCACTGGTCTAAAAGAGAAACAGCAGTGATTATCTCACCTGGCCTCAAATTGATTTTAATTATCATATATAATAAATATTGCTTTTTTGTGCTGCAAATGACATCTGATCATAGTGAACTAAAGATCCACTTTATCCATGTCATCAAGTCACAATCAATATGTTTCAACAGGTGTGTATGAAAAGTGGCTACAGACTGGATATATATCATGTGAAAAGAATCTCACATATTAGATTTGTAATATGTGACAAGAAATAAGAGTAGTCAAAACTTAATTTGATGTAACATCGGTGAATGTATGACAAATTGTTTAATACAATCATCTAAAATTTTAGGAAATTTTTTTAAAGACTTATCAATATTTTTCTTAGTAAAATTTCAATGAGTAGTACATCGTTACTGACTATGGGACAAAAATTGAAATGGTTATGAAACAGCAAAGAGGAACCACTTTTACAGTAAACTTAGAGTATGATTCATTATCATTATTATTTTAAACAGCAGATTTTTGTTTTTATGTTAAAAGCTAAAAAATGAAAATAGCATTTCCAATTTGTTTTCTATAATAATATTAAAAATATGCAATTTTGAAAGGCATAAAATTATTAGACAAGATAAAAATTAGATGCTAGTAGAAAACTGTGAAATTTAAAGAAGCCAGAAAACATAGATATCTTATTTTCAAAGATCAAATGTATTCTCTGAATTAAATATTCAGGAAGTAGTCAAAGAAAACTACTGCTGCTTGAAAAAGAGGGCTTCTGTTTCTAAAGTCCCTTGAAAACAAGAAAAGTTTTCTAAACCAATGCAAATGTAAGGTTGATTACTCTTCTCTGCTATGCTGCATCTCCCATATACAATTTTCAATGATCCAACCCCATAAAGCCCGAGATGTGCTTTTTGTCTTTCTTCTGTAACTCTAGAAGATGAAACTAAACAATATATTTAGTACTTATTCATTACATAAAAATATCCAATATATTATTCCTCTTTTTACTAAATAATATTATCATAATTTCACATTTATGCATCGTTTGTTATGATACACAAGTACATATCTTGTCTGAGAATGCTGAAATATTTTTCTCAAACAAATCAATGGGAATTTCTTCTATCCTTTACATTATTTTGATTTATGAAAGATTTTACATGAATTTAGAAAGAGCCAATATTACCCATTTCATCAAAAACCCATGGTCTCATTTTATTAACTTGTATTCACATTTTCTGCCTTTTGGAAAGCTGGAGAAATTTGTATTGTTGTTTTATTCAAAAAAGAGAAACAAGACTAGAATTCTCAAAGCTTTATTTGAACCATATGAACACAGTTTCATTAAATTTCTGCAACTAACAACACATAAGCAGATAAGTTAAGACTAAACTCTAGAAAACAAAATACTTCATTTTTAAAATATTCACCAACAAAATTAGGAAATGTTCAATGGGCAGGATTTTTGACAATGCCCACATTATTTGTTAGGCAGGAGGTATATCCCATTATGCCTTTACAAAAACACAAGCTCTCGACATCACTGTTTTTTTTTTCTTTGCGGCATCACATAAAGTTTAAAAACACTATCAGAATGTCTACCACATATGCAATAAAATAGTGCTCTAAAAAGTAACAGTATAACACTGTGATCTCTATTCATGGGTAGGAATGAATAATTTTGATGGCAGAGAAAACAGGAATCGTTATTTAGAATTCTGGTCATGCAATACATTTCAAATACAATGCTGCACAAAGCTATTATGGCACACCATTAATGACTGGTGAGTTACTGAAACTTAGAAACATTTGAGTAGCCCACAGTCTACCTTTATGATTAACAAACACATTGAGTTCTGAGACAGCTTTATACAAAAGGACCAAGATGGCATCTATTCATCATGTTCGATGCTGGAATCTTCGAGTTTTATACCAGATGAATCCTCGCTCATGAACTGGTTTAATATGACTTCCACACTATGCCGTAAATCTTCACTATCATCTGCAGTTTGTTGCTCCTGTCCACTACAATCATTCTGATCAGTTGTTACAGTGGTGACAATTCTGAAAATAGAAAAGCAAACAATAAACTGCCACTCTCATAAAAAATTGGAAATATGTAAATTAAATTCAGTAATCTCAGAAACCTTAAAAGTCTGATAATCTACCACACATATACCCAACATGAGAATGACCCGATGAGGTTATGAATATTAACAATATGCTAATTGTATATATTCAGAAATATTCGGAACTTTTTCGAACCAGTATCATAAGCAGAGTCACAAGAGTTATGTTAGTCACACACTTGCCTTAGGTGCATGGATAGGCACAGTGCAAAATTAGCTACATATAATTATAACTTATTTAAAAAGAAATTAAGCTTGTTAACTTTCACCCTATAAACACAATTAGCACAGTTCTAAAATATTACATATAAGCAATAAAAAGTGCACTGTATTCTGGACACTGTGTGCTATATAGCGAGCAATTTGATTTCAATTAATCATTTTTCTCAGTCATCTGTGCTCATCAGCAGCTGAGCAGCAAGATCAGTAATGGTAGCAATACAACGGGGATTCAGATCTCGCATGTAAGCATTTTCGTGGTTTCCAAGCCATTTCCCTTAAGACATCATCCACTAAACCATGCCTTTCCCTAAGCAGATACCCTGTATGCACTTTGATATAATGCAAATAATCTAACCTGAGCTGTTATTTTTCATTTTTCATTTCACTCAGAATCAAAATAAAAATAAAAATTACTTAAACTTTAATAAACTTATTTATGTTACTTTCTCAAATGAATATCTTATGAAGTTTCATAAAATGGAAAGCAAAATGTACCATATATCAGTTTGTTGCTCCTTTTTACAAATAAAGTGTACTGCTGAATGAAATTCTGATATACTCTTGCACTATATTTAATTTGTCTTCAAACTTCCACAGTTCACTTACGATTATTGCTGAAACTTACATAATCATTGTTGGTTGTGGAGCAAATCACGTCCTAGTTTTATTTTTCCCAAGATTAGTGTACTGTTTTATGGATTTTAAACTGTAAATGATAAATCATAAATTCAGAAGTACAGAAAAAATTAACTGTGTCAGAATGACAACAAAAGATATTCTATTAACATACTGAATGTACTTAAATTTTAAGACATAACTTTTTAAATTATTATTTTTGTGTTTGTACAAAAATACAAAATAAAATTATGTAAATATCAGAAATGGTAATTTTTTTTGAAGAACCTTTAGAAATTTTAGTTGAAGAATCATAACAAATAACTTGAAAATAATTTCAGCAAAAGGCAATTTAATTACTAGCATGAGAAGAGGTTATGTAAGACATGATTTCACATTTTCTGAATTGCTCTGCTGTTTACATGATGCAATAACATAAAATGTTTAACATCAAAGTTCAATGGAACAGGAGTTTTGAAATTTATCTTGAAATAATTAAGATAAAAGTTGTTGCCAATTCCAAACAAATTCATTATAACAGAATTTATTTTAAAAAACTCAGTTCAGCTCCACTCTTTCTAAGGTCATTAATATGATGGAATATATTTTTAAATTTCATTCCATTTCCAAATTTTTCATGACTATTTAAAAAGAAATTTGATTTTTCTAAAGAAGTGTCACCATAGCAATTTCAAAAGATTAGTTACTTGCAAAAAGAAAAATAGATGAATGTGGTGTGCATTTACAACTGACTTTTTGATTAAAATAATTATTCACAAGCTATAATAAGAAATTGCAATATTGAAAATTCAATAAAAATCAATAAAATTTTATTCAACGTTCTTCATTAGAAAAGGTCAAGTGATTATGCTGATCATGAGTACCATGGAAATGATCAAGTTTCCAAATCACTACAATTATTTAAACAACCACTACAATTGTTTAACAACAATTTTATTTACAATTATTATTTATATTTTCAAATTATTGCACAGTAACTTTCAAACATCCTGCACAACAAATGTTTAGTGAATTTCATGGCTTCTTGACATACGTATACTGGTACTTACTAAACAATAATAATGGCATACTACGAAAGCAATATGCAACTAATGCTGTATAATAAACAGACAATGACAGATGAAAGGTAGAAAGTGAGAGTGACAAGGAAAACCTTTACTTTTTAAGCTTTGAACATCTCAGTTACAGAGGAAATATACATTTCCATCTGTCCCCCACATTCCAATAAAACTATAATTAAGTCTCATCATTTAAACTGCTTAATATTGCTATATCCCAACACAGACAGTCATGCCATGCACCTCAATCTGAAAAGATAATTTAACTGGATTCACTAAATGATTATTCAATGTAATAAAAATTCTTCAACATAGGAAGATTATGGTGAAACAGTATATGCAGTATGCTGAATTTGTCTTATAATAAAACGAAGAATAATAGTTTCAGCTAATCGAACATCAGTCAAATTTATAGTTTAAATATTATTTTAATGACACCTAAGAAACAGTTTATAATAACTGTTAATTTAACTTTCTACAAATGTAAGAGTTCAGTCTTTAAAACATAAAGGACATGAATTAAATATTTTAGATATTCAGTTTATCAAAATTACTGATGCCATTAAAAAGTTCATCAAGTTATTTTTAATAGCTATCAAAATTATATTCTAATTCAGTACCTTATATGTCCTTCATTTGCATTTCATGCACGTTTAATCAATTTTCCATACTGCTTTTCAATGATTCTTCTATTTCTCTTAAAACTTTTTCATAAAAATTATATACTTTTCCATTTTAATTCTAAGAAAACTAATGACAAATGCTGCAGATTTCGTTTTAGCAAAAATGCTATGATTCAAACACTTCTCCTTCAGCTGCAACTAAATGAAAGAAAAATACCACAAACAGAATGAGACATTGAAAGATTTTTAGAAATTGTTAGTAGTTAAAGACAGCACCTTTTATGAAGCAGAACAGAAACAAGTCAAGTACTGCAATCTAGAGAAATGGTAATTGAAAATGGAATGAGAAAACACTGTACGTAGATGGATGGAAGAAAGGGATCAAAATTTAAATCACTGACAAATAAAACATAAATTTTTATGCACAAAGAAAGCCTCAAAGAAGTCTGCTTCCAACCGTAAAAGTATTTAGATGATTTTATTAGATGCAAAACTGAAGTTTTGGTCAGCTGCTCAGTACTGCAAGGCAATAAGATCATTCCTACTTTTAATTTTGGTCATAAAATTGATCTGATTAAAAATGCCATATTAAATATGTAATAATTTGTAAATGGCAACATTTAACATTCAATATTTAGTAACTTGTAATTGGCAACACTTTGGATACAGATATGAAAATAGAACTATGCTGGTGTTGCAGTTCTCTGTAATATAATACATTCTATGATTATAAATAAACAGTTTTTAAAAACTAAAAATGTACCCTCATTATTTTATATGATATCAGGAGTGTTTTGCTTTCAAAATGGAAAGTTTAAAACCACCAAAGCCAATGAAATTTGATGGAAAAATTGCTTCAAATTGGCAAAGATGGCTGCAATCATTCGAAATGAAATAGCTAGTGGATTACATAAATAAAGAAGAAGAGGTAAGCATTAATACTTTCTTCATGAAATAGGAATTCGTGGTTTTGAAATATATAATACACTTCCTATTGAAGAGGGTAAAGAAATTAAATTAAGTGAAATTAAAACAAAAATTTACAGAATATTATATTCTTAAGAAAAACATTACATATGAAAGACATTTAGGCTAATCTTTGGAATATGGTAACAGGTAGTATGGCGACATTTTGGTAAGTCGATAAAGGTTACTAGCTAAGACTTTAGCAATAATCTGAGAAGTACACAGTTCGAATCACAGATTATTTTATCTCAGAGAAATGAGAAATCATGAGACGTAATGTGACATTTTCCGGAAAATTTCAATTGGGATTTTAGCCAATAAGCACTTAGAAACAATTTCGCTGCTAAAGTGCAGAATCGCCCACTTATTTGTTTGGCGCTTTTTACAAGAGTAAGAAGAATTGGATTTTTGTCAATTTTCTTTGACTTTTTAAGTGAAAAAAGGTCAATGTAAACATGGATAAAGTCAATAGTGTGCACAATGCCATTTTGTGCAATTCTGGGATGTTTTTTTAAGTGAAAATAGGTCGATGTGTATATGGATACCGTATATACGCAATTCTTAAAAACGCAGCAAGCAGTGGGCGATTCTACACTTTATCCCAATTTCGCACCTAATCTTTGTCATGATTAAGCACTTTTGTTCCATAAAAGTTCTAGCATAAGCGTAATTCGGCTAGCAGATTGTTAGAAAAAATGTTGAGTTTTAAAAAAAACTAGCAGGGTTGGTCGCCAACGTTTTGCCAAAAAATCGCCAAGTTACCATAATCCAAAGATTCACCGACATTTATTCTTTACTAAAAATCAAACCGCATCAGAAACCATAGATGAATAAGTAACTGACCTTCGAAATAAAGCTCGAACATGAGAGTTTGCACAATTAACGGATAGTTTAATAAAGGATAAAATTGTTTACAGTATTAAAGATGATGTGAGTTTGCACAATTAACGGATAGTTTAATAAAGGATAAAATTGTTTACAGTATTAAAGATAATGTAGTGACAGCAAGATTGTTACATGAAACAGAATTAACATTAGAAAAAGCTCTTAATATATGCAGATCTGCTGAAATAAAAGCACATCAAATGAAAATCATAAAAGAATAGGAAACTGTTGTAAACTTAGTGAAAAAGAAACTAAGTAAACATGATAAGAATACCTACAAAGAGGCAAATACCAAGAAACAAAAGACAAAAGTTTGTTCTAAATGAGAAACGTCTCATGAGTATTGAAAGTGTCCAACATATGGAAAAATCTGTCATAAGTGTAAAAAGGCAAATCATTTTGCGAATCAATGTAAAAGCTGTATAATAAAAAATGAAGCAGTCAAGGTAAACAAAAAAGATAGACAAATTAAATTAATAAATCATTACTCTAAGGAAGAGTTAGAATTTTATGTAGGCACATTAAACTTAATTTCAGAGTAACAAGGAAGAGAAATGGACTGTTGATGTTAATGTAAATAAAAGTAAACTAAATTTGCAGTGTAGTGAGATACTGGGAGCAATGTGCCAATGTTATTTCTGAAGCAAGTGAAATAGTAAATGTTCCGATAGAAGTCTGAAATTAAAAGATATTCTATTCTGTGGAAATAAAAATGGATACCTTTAGGAAAAGTAATCGTTAACACTGAAACTTACTGGAGGAATACAAAGAGTATTTGAAGGCTCAGGTTGCTTGAATGGAAATATAAAATTCAGTAAAACAAGATGCAACACTAGTAATTCTTCAAGAAAAAATACTCATAACTATACGAGATAAAGTGAAGAAAGAAATTACAAAAATGGAAAAATTTAATGTTATTGAAAAGTAAGGAGAACCAACTACTGAATGGGTAAATTCATGGTCACAGTTGCCGAAACCTAACAAAATAAGAATATGTTTAGATTCTAGAGATTTAAATAAAGCTATAAAACGAGAACGTTATCCTATGTTAACCATTGACAAAGTTGTCACTAGAATGCCAAATGCAAAAATATTTTCTGTTTTAGATGCTAATTGTGCTTTTTGGCAAATCCAGCTTGCAGAAGAAAGTAGTAATTTGTGTACATTCAATACACCTTTTGGCAGATACAAATTTAAAAGATTACCTTTTGGCTATGTTCAACTCCAGAAAATTTGCCAAACACAATTAAGCCAAATAATAGAAGGTCTAGAAGGCATTGAATGTATTATAGATGATATTTTAATATGGGGATCTAATAAAAAGGAACATGAGCTACAACTTAAAAAAGTACTCCAGAGAGCACGAGAAAATAATTTGAAGTACAGTAAGGCTAAATGTAAAATAAAAGTTAATTGTGTGAATTATATAGGGCATGAGTTAAATGAAAATGGACTAAAACTTGATTTTTCTAAAGTGGAAGCAATTGTTAAAATGCCAGAACCTACAGACGTGCCTTTGCTACAAAGATTTTTGAGAATGATTAATTATTTAGCAAAAAAAATTCCTAACTTAACTACTATTACTGTTCCATTAAGACAGTTACTTGAGAAAAATGTTCTCTGGCACTGGACTGAAAAACATCAAAAAGCTTTCGAAACACTTAAAGAATTGGTTGCAAAAGCACCCGAATTAAAATTCTTTTATGTTAATAAGGATATAACTCTTTCAGTAGATGCAAGTTCTGAAGGATTAGGTACTGTTTTACTACAAGGAAATCAACCAATTGCTTATGGTTCCAAAGCTCTAACGAAAAGTCAGAAAAATTATGCTCAGATAAAAAAAAAAGCTTTTAGCTATTACTTTTGGATGTTCCAAATTTCATCAATATATATATGGCAAGCGTATTACAGTTGAAACTGATCATTGACCATTAGAAAGCATAACTAAGAAACCTCTATTTAAAGCACCACAACAATTACAAAGAATGCTGTTAAATTTACAAAAATATGATCTGGATGTACAACACAAAAAGGGTAAAGACTTAATAGCAGACACTTTGAGTAGAGCATATTTGAATACAACAGAAGATAATGATGAAGATACAGAAATTTGCACACTGATTCCAGCATCTGTTGGCAAAATTTATGAACTGAAGAAAGAAAGTGAATGTGAGGCTACACTACAGTGCTTAAAGAAATATATTCTGAGAGGTTGGCCAGAAAGGAAACATTAGGTGGGAAACAAGTCAAAGTATTTTGGGATTAATGAGATGAGTTGACAATGGAAAATGACTTATTTTTCAAAGGAGGAAGGGTAATTGTTCCTTTATCTATGCAAAAAGAGATGTTAAATTTAATTTATAAGGGTCATTTTGTTATATAAAAATGTGTAAGAAAAGAGCTAGAGATGTTTTGTTTTGGTCACTTATGAAGAAGCAGATAGAAGATAAAAATTTCAAAATGTCCTTTATGTAATGAATACCAGAATAAAAACATAAGAGAGCCTATAATACCACATAAAGTTCCCAATTTACCTTGGTATAAAGTTGCAACAGATTTATTTGAGATTAACAAATATGTATACTTATTAATTGTAGATTACTATTCCAACTGTTTTGAAATCTCTAAACTACCGGATACTCAGACAGTGATCAGTTACATGAAATCTCATTTTGCAAGATAAGGAATACCATTAATAGCGATATCTTATAATGCACCTCAGTTCGCAAGTAAAGAATTTGCAAAGAAATACCAATTTAAGCATATAACAAGCAGTCCATACCATCCACAGTCGAATGGATTAACAGAGCGTTCAGTACAAACGGCGAAGAAATTGTTGAAGAAAGATCAAGCAGATCATGCTGCTCCTTATTTAGCATCGTTAGAAACACTCCAACTAATGAGATGCTAGGATCACTAGCTCAACAAGCTATAAGTAGAAGAACAAGAATGATTCTTCCTACATCCGAAAAATTACTAAAACCTCAAGTTGTGAAAAATGTAAAAGGAAAAAAATCAACCAAGAAAGAACTAAGAAGTTATATTATGATCATCATACAAAAACATTACCATCGCTAAGCAAAGGAGATTGTGTTTAGGGTATATCAAGATAATCACTGGAAAACAGCAGTTGGAGAAGAAGTATATAAGATGCCTAGATCATATATATTGACATCAGTTAGATCAGTATTGAGAAGAAATAGAAAAGACATTAGAGAAAACAGTTCAGCTGTTGAAGAGATTATCAGAGGAACAGAACAAGGAGTTAATGCACAGAAAACAGATGTAAAAGGACATGATTCCAGATATTCTAAACGGCAGAGTTTAGAAGATCAACTACCAAACTCTGCTAACTCAGAGAAACAAGGCACTAGAAGTGGGAGAACGATTAGAAAGCCGGCCAGTATTTGGATTGATTTTAGACTGTTAGTAAAAAAAATTAAAAGCTTTTGAACTCTTTGAAAACAACGGATGATGTAATATTTAATAACTTGCAAATGACAACATTTCAAATTTAATATTTAGTAACTTGTAATTGGCAACACTTTGGATACAGATATGAAACTAGAACTATGCTGGTATTGCAGTTCTTTGTAATATAATACATTCTATGATTAAAAACTAAAAGTGTACTCTCATTATTTTATAAAATACAGCTTCACCATGACTGCTAGATTTTGATAGACATCAAGAACTATTTTAGTTGATGATTAACAAGAAAATCGAATGTAATGTTAACTATCACAAATTTAAATAAAAAATTATGAAAAATATAAGTAAACATAAGGGGTTTAATTGGTTTACTAAAATAAGAATCGGAAGAATAACTAAAGAGGAAGAAAAATTATATAAAATGAATAAAAAATTATTATTAAAAGCAAATACATGGTATCTACGAAATAAAATGTAACTAAGTAATAAGGTATGTATAATACGACTTAAAAAAATCAAGCAACTACCTAGTAGTAGTGGTAGCTGTAGTTCTACTAACTAAATCTTCTCCATCTAATGCTGAGCTATCACCTAAAATAATAATAAAGGGGGAAAATAATAAATTTTTGCAGCAACAGAAAGCATGCAGTAAAAATATGAAAACTACTTCTGAGTGCAATAAAGGAACAATTTAGAAAATGGTAAGCACTTAACTAAATGTTTAAAGATGGTCGATTAATTCATTTTCATTCTACTTTCTAACACATTATTTAACAAACCCACATCGAAAAAAAGATACACGAAGCTAAGACAATAATCTAATTTTTGTCACAATTTGAAAGTATGCAATTTTATATATAAAACATAGCTATTTCATTTTTACAATATTATATACTGGAAAATCTAAAACATTCCAAAATGGTTAAACTTTCAGCAATTTGAAAAAATATCTATTTCATGTAATAGCACTTCTCTTAATATAAAATAAAATTTTTTAAATAATTCAAAGACAAATATTTGGTAAATTTACCTAAAGCCTAATTATCTCACCATCAACTTTAGTCTAAAAGTTCTTTAATTTAGAATATTTGTTGAAAAAAAATTAAGAGCAACTGCTATTTAATTCAAGTTCGCAAATTTACATTACTGACAATTGAAGTAGATATGATCAGTCCAAAATTCCTTATATTTTGGCTTCATTAAGTATGATTAAATAGTAGCTCACCAGTTTATAAATATGGATTATAGTAAAGCATTTTAGAAATTTTACTGATCATGAAATCATAAATTTTAAGAATTAAACACCATTTATATAACATAACAAAAACGATAACACTGAAGATTATAATAATATATAACAAATGTTTTAAAACTTCTTAACTATGTATAGCTACTACATTGAATAAATCAACATATTTGATTAAAATTCATTCTGGATTGTTTTTTTTTTTTTAAAGAACACATGCTAAATCATATTATGTACTACAAATAACGGATTCATTCTGACTTTGATCATTCTTTTCCACAAATCTTAAATATATTATGCATATATATCCATTGAGGTGTTGAAAGTAACTTTCAATTATTTCCATGAAAATCCTTAACAATAAAATACAGATTTTAGAAAATAGGGCAGAAGTATGACATCAAAGACAGTAATGTGACTTTTTATATTATTAAATGCTTACAAAATCTTATTTGTCAATATTATATTCAAAAAGCATAGAGTAAAAACATGAAAATCACATACGAGGTTATTAGAAAATTACTTTATTAAAATAAGTTCCCATTTAACCCTTAGCACTCCGCACGTTTTTGTACCACTGCCTACCAGCAACTCCGGCACATTTTCACAGTGGAATGCAGCATCCAGAATATCTGCATGAATCTCTTTCTTGTAAATATTTTACCAAAGAAAGGGATGTGACTATTCTTCTTAACTGATCAATAATTCTGCATATTCGCCGGAGGTATCTTACCTATATTGATAATAACTCCAATAAAAGCCCAAAACTCATCCTCTTCCACCGCACGCCACGTTTTCCAAATAGAATTACTAGATATTTCTTTATTCTATATCCATTTTCTGCGTAATTGTTGGTTTCTTTTATAACTTCATTTACCAGTTTGTTGTGAAAAATAATTTGAAATATTTGGTCGGCTGTGCGAAATTTGTAGGAATTTGTGGTCCAATGACCTTTGGAGATACACTAAAATGTATTCTATCTGGAATATCTAATTCTGTGACATCGTGCCATTCATCCAAGTTTTCCGGTGACTCTTTGCTTTCACTTTCAATAACTACCCTTCGTCATCTCTTTGGTAGTATAATTTCGGAACCACTACTTGAAGTGTCAGAATTATAATCAACATTGTCTTCCACAATAACTTCTAACAATGAAAAATCAAACACATCTTCACTATCACTCAACTCTACATTCTCATCACAATAATTATTTTTCTCTATGTTGCTAACCGTAAAATGGGTCAAATAATGTTTCAATCATAACAGTAGCAAGACTGAGCATGTTTTAACAACAGATAACAATTGCCAACACAGACAATTCCATAACATCTTAAGCCTAATCATGCTAAAAACATTGGGCTCTGCAGCGGAGCCTACGGAGTTACGGAACAAATGACGGACGGCTCTGTGGTGGAGCCAACGGAGTGCTAAGGGTTAAGCTAAATGCAGGTACACTATTCATGCACTTAAGATTGACAGATCTTTGTAGCAAACAATTTCCATGATCACATGATCTCTGCAGTCATTAATGTATTACTACTTCCCATGAGTTATGAAATGTTGCAATGCCATAAATCCCTATTATTTAATGCATATACTAATAAAGGATTTTTCAGTTATATAAATGATTTTCCTCGGTATATACTATAACTTCAGTAACACTTTGTAAGTTAAAAATGTGTCAGAAAGTAGTTTTAAGAGCAAAAATATCACATTTTACCTACATGTATTACTTATGCAAAACTTTAAAATAAATTCATCACATTAAAATGCAAAGAAAAATCTATTTATGGTAAAAAAAAATACAACAAAGAAAGCAAATTTTTAAGATACAGTCAAACCTTCTTTAGTGGACTTTTGGGGCAATAAGAATTTGGCTCATTATCAGGAAAGATTCATTAAATGGAGCTGTATGAGTTTCCTACTGAGGACTGGAGATTGAAAAATCTGTCTATAATAGGAAGTGTCCATTAAAGTAGGTTTGACTTTGTATCAAAATTTCAACGAAATTCAGACTTTATTTGAAAAATTCGGTAATAACATCTGCACACTGCCCAAAAAAAATACAGTATACAAAAATCATGCAAAAACCATAAAAGCAGAGCATTCTTTCTGAAAATAAAAAAAAGTCAAGACATAGAAACACACATTATGACTGCATACACTAAAGTGCAGTAATAACAACACCATACAATGAAAATAAAAGGGGAAACTAAATAATAATTTAAATCTATATAAATAGTGCAAGTTTCATCACAAAACTTTTCGGCCAGGTCAATATAACAGCAGTGATTACTAATATATCACAAAAAAACTTTTAAACAAAACATACCCTACAAAAATAAATTATGAAAATATATAAACAATAAGTAATAATTTTATTTAAAGAAAATAAATTTTAAAAGTATTAAAATAAAAAAGAGGGACAACAAATATAACTTAATAGAATTATAAAGCATGCAAAATGCATAAACAAGGAGCATTCTAAGATGTTTGAATAAAATAAGCATGATATACAGTATAAAACATAAAGCATTCATACAAGCATATCAGAACTGAATAACGAGGCACTGAATCACTTTTTACAACATATTTGGTTCACAACTGTATCAACTACCTGACGCACTTAATCCATGTCCAGCTTCAAAGGTCTTTAATAAATCATCAGAAGCTCTAAGTGGTTTGGAATCTTCTTTTATATCTGTAAATGAATGGGAAGGGTAATCTTCCATCAAAACAGATTCATCAGTTAATTTTGAAAGAAATAACTCCATTTGCTCTTTGGCTCCATTGGCACTTTGCAAATTTTGAAGTTCTTCTAGCTTACAAGCTAATGCTCCTTTACTTAAAGGCTCATCCACATTACTTGAAACTTGAGTTTTTTCATCTGTTACAGTGTCACCTATAGAATAAGTTAATTTAGGTTCCGGCTCTAAAGTGTCAGTGCTGGAGACCATAGTGCATTCTTCACCAGAAGCCTGAGCACTATTGATGCTCGATGACATAACAGAGTCGGTTTCAAATTGATATGTTGCATGAGTAGCTGTTGAACTGCTTGGATCTATTGAATCAGTACTAGATATCATACAGTCTAATTTTCCATTACCACACATCTTTTCCCCACTAGAACTAGAATCGTGACCTCCACCTAGATTATCAACATCTGTTGCTGGAGGAAATGGCTCAGATTCTTCAATGTCAGTAGCTTCATCTTTACTAGAGACCTTATTTCCTTCAGATGTGTCTTGGGTTTCAGATAAAACTCTCATTAGAACAGTACACTCATCAGAAGTTACACCTTCAGACACAGTTTCTTCTTGGAATTTCTCAACATTAGTCTGAGCTACTTTAATTATTTCTTCAAAATCAATTCGCCTTTTCTCATATTCTGAATCTGAACCATCATGTAATGAACTAGGCAAAATTTCAAGAACATCTGAAGACTGACTTTCAAGACCTTCTTCAATTTCAGAAAGCATGACATCATCTACACCAATTCTATCAAGTGGCTCGTTTTCAACACATTCCTTTTCCAATTTTTCAAATTCTGTTAAAGATGACATTGAAATATCATCATGCTCACCACTCTTAGTAAATGCCATTTTTTCACTTGAATCAACAGAAGAACGGCTAAGTCTACCAGCAACGATTTCTGCCTCAAGCCTTTCAAACTCCTGAAGAGAAGATGATGCAGATGTATCACCACTTCTTGGGAAAAACCTCCGACTAGGATGCGCATCAAAACTAGGAGTGCTTTGTTTATCTTCTTCAATAGACGGAATGGGACTTGGATAAACATCTGATTCACGCAACTCAAATTCTTCTTCTTCATGATGAGTATACAGATCAGTTCCTGAAATTTCATCATATTTTGAAGTATATACTTGAGAAACACAATCAGATTCAGCAAGGATGTCTCCCTCATCACATTTTACACTGGAAGATGCACTTTGAGCATCTGAAGTCTTTTCGTCTTTTGATGATTTTCCAGTGGCAGCTGTTTTATGAGACTTATATTCATAACGCTCATCTTCAGGTGATGTGTCAACTATATCAGTTCTCTCAAGAGAATCAGTACTTTGAAGATCTGGCAGCAACTGAGATCCTGTTCCTAAAGTGGGCATTGCTTCAGTGCTACTAACAGATTCACCACATGGAATATTAATTTCACTTTCATAACTTGGAGGTAAGGAATCAATTCCTCCAGGAAGTAAATCACACTGATCACTTTCAGGAAGATAACTAGTCAAATCAGGACATACACGAGATTCAGAAGCTCTGTGACTACTGTAGCCACTAAAACTAAATGATTGTTCTTGCTGTGCTTCTGGTTTCTCAGCGTCCAATGACCTGCCATTTTGTGTGTCATAATCTGATGAGGGCTGAGTGTGACATGAAGTACTCTCATTATTCTTACTTCCCATGTCTCCCACGGATTGAGAGTTCACACCAGAAGTGTGCTGACTAGCAGCATCAGAAGAAATAGCATTACTACCTTCTATTTCAAGGTCAAATTGCAAACCATCTGTTTCATATGATTGGTTTTGATTAGATACAGGCTGTGAATTATCACCATCAAGATTGTCATAATCTGGATTATAATCCACTTCAACAGGACCGTTTAACTGAAGATAGGAAGTTTCAGGATGCGAAATAAAAGAGTGTTCAGGAGTAAGCGCTTCCTCAAGATTTTCTTGACAAGAATCAGATGCAGCCACAAAATTAGGACTGTCTGGTGCAAGACAGGATGAAGGTGCATTATAAGAGAGCTGTACAGCTGTATCAGTGCTGGTTTGCCATGTCTGTTCACTATGAGTTGCTGAACTTTCAGACACAGAAAGTTGCTCTTCATCAAGTACACTATTTGTTTGTTCAATACGCTCTTGATCGAGGACTATATCCATAACGGAACTAACTGAGCGTCTGTGATATGGAATATCCCGTGAAGAAGATCCAGTTTCAACCTGAGTACAAGACGGTGTTGTATATGCAACAGAAGTTGAAAAATGCACACCTTCTTCAATGGCATGAACTTCTGTAGCAGAAGAAGCAACTTCTGTATCTATTGGAATACTTCCATTATTTTCAATAACTTCGAATTTATCAGAAATTTCAGATTCAGTTGCATATTGCCATGTCCACTGTTGAGGCAACTGCTTCATTTTTTCGTCAGGAGCTGTATCTCTGAAATCCCAGGTTTTCATAAAAGGTAGTTCAATGCCACTTCGAATGACTGACTCGGGAATTTTCATATCATATGGCTCTTTAAGTGAATCATAATTTGCTGGCTCTTCATCTAGAACTGGCATTTCCAGATCAGGGCCAAATTCTAATTCCATTTCTTGTGCAGAAGGCACTAATGTCTCACTAGCCTCAGATGATACTTCTACACTAGCCAGATGGCCAGAACTTTCTGAGTCAACGGAATAAGCAGATTCTCTTGAACTATGACTAAACGAGGAACACGCAGTTGCATATGATATTTCTTGAGATGAAATGGCAGTTGCATATGATCCAGATGCTTCTTGAGATGTGACACACGTTTCATATTCAGAGCCATGACCACTGAAAACATTAATTTCAAACTCAGATGAGCATGGCCTACTAGCAGCAGGTGTACTTCTTGGTGTTCTTCCACTGTCAGAAGTTTCAACTGAATAATATGGGCTTTCTGTTTCTCCAGAACTAGAAAATGACTCTTCTTTACGTTTTCCAGCAGATTCAGTTATACTTTCAATTTTCGAACCTTCTGCATCTGAATCGCTCTTTTTCCCATGTGATGATTTACTTTCTGATCGTGGCAGCTTTCTACTTTCATCAAACGAATCAGATTTTTTGGACAATAAGCCAGGATCATCTAAAAAATCTGTATCTAATAATTTTTCTTCTACAGTTGTACCTTTCTTTTCAGATGGTAATTCAAATCCTGCATTGACATCTACCTCCGCAACTATATGTGTTTTTATTTGATTACTATCAGCTATGAACATTTCTTGAGAACTTAAGTCTTGACTTTTGTCTTTATGTTCCTCATCAGACGAACTTCCCTTTAAATCAGATTTTTCAGGAAGATCTTGCAAAGCCATCTCTTGTGGAGAATCGCAAGATTCAATAGACGAATGTTCCTCAATGGTGGAAACTTGTTTAGTTGATTTTAATGATCTTATATCTTTCTTATCAGGCCTAGAATAAACATCTTTTCCACGGCGTGGAATATCAACATCCGCCATAGAACTGCTCATTCCAGATGACATATGATCAAAATCATGTGATCCAAAATCTAATGTTTGATAAACGTCTTGCATTAAACCTTTGGACGCAAGTAACGAATCTGAAGCAAGAGCTTGAAGCTGCTCAGTCAGAGAGTGCTCCTCTCTGGCTTCTTCATAATCTACTAGATGTTCATCTTGCTCTACTGTAATACCTTCTGATGAAGATATGTCATCAGTTGGCCCAGCACTTTCTTCAGATACCTGAGGAGAAATCTTTCTTGGCAAATTGTTCTGTTTATCATTACTAATTTCAGAGGAAGATTCCTGTGTTGTTCTTCCTGAAATTTCACTGAGGTCAGACTTTTTCAATGAAAAAGTTCCCAGCTCTTTTCTTTCAGGAGACCCACATTCAATATCTTCACCCAATGCTTGAGTAAGTATTTCAGTTCTGATATGCTGGTAAACAGGACATTTACGATCTTCAGAAGCTGAAATATGTTCCAGATCCTCTGCAATTTGTTTTACTTCAAGAGGACTTTCTTCAATAGATAAATCAATTTCTTCCCTAAGAATTTCTGATTTAATATGACTATCAACAGTAGAAGAAATGTCCATCAGATTTGAAGGCTTCTCTTGAGAGTGTTTCACAGTATCTCGAACACTGTCATCTTCATCCAGTTTAACAGCTTCCTTAAATTCTTCTTTTTTATATAAATCCACAATAAGTTTCCTTTCAGTATATTCTTCATCCGATACAGAGCTTACACGAATATCTCCAGAGCTTAAAGAATGATGTGCATGTTGATCGTGTGCACTACCAAGAGATTCCACAACTGGAGGAACATCAGTTTCTGAGACTTCTAAAAGTTTAGTAAATATTAGTTAGTATATAAAATATAAAAAATGTTAACTCATGCATCTTTGTTGATACTGAAGCATGCTCTACTGACTGAAAGAAACTAACAATGACCATGCAACATCCAAAAATGAGTCTGGCATTCTAAGCAAAATAAATTTTGACAGAACACAACCATGCATAAATAATACAGTAAATGATCATAACTATAATAACATATTTTATCAACAATATATGTACATGTACAAAAGTTCTGAGACAGGATTGAATAAAATAAAAAGGATTACTTTAGAAAAAAATTTAGAACATCATGCTTGTCAGTAAAAATGCAAAATATGTAAATAAAATCATAAAATAAAAATTTTAACTTGCAACTGTAAACGTTCACAAAAGGCTTAAAGAATACTTAGATCCCCCTTTTACCCAATTTCACAACTATAAAAATATTTTTACAGAAAAGTTACTCGCCTGAACAACTGATACGAATAACTGTCCCAAGATGCTTATAAATAAAATGCTTATTTTCCTAATTTATACAAATACAAAATGCACAATAAGACTTTCAATAAATATAACATAGTAAATCAAAATTTTAAACACTGAGAAAAAAACTTTCAACTTGAATTTTTAAAACAAGCATATAATTCACAATATTTTATAAAAATAAAGAAGGTAACTAAAATGAAAAATTTATACATTCAATGCAGACATGCTGAACATAATACTTAAAAACATAAATTCTCTAAATGATAAATTAATGTTTAAATGTTTAATCTTAATGAATCAAAACTATTCATGAACTTTAATCCATAATTAATTTTAAAAGGAAAGTTCTGGAGTTTCAAAACAGAAAATAAATAAATAAAAATAAAAATAAACCCCTGTCTCAGAAAAATCAAGAACAGGACATATTCAGCAAGAAATATTCATATTTGCTTTGCATCACAGTTGAAAAAACTAATTTATATCTTTTATAAAAATTACTGTTCAAAAATAAAAGTAAACTAAGAAATTATAATTTTAAATGAAACTAGATTCTTTGCAAATTTTATGAAGTGGTTTATAAGTGGAAATAAAAATTTATGATATTAGACCTACCATTACATATGAATATATATTAGGTATTTATAAATTATTAGAATTTGTATCAGATTGTTGCATAAAAATACATTTCTTAAACTATATACAGACTTCAGTGAAAAATTAACTTTATTAAGAAAAGATTATTTAAACTTAAAGTATTATTTTGAAAGGGTTTTCCTAAATACCAGCAAGAAAAGTATAAAAAGGTATTTAACACTTGAAATGCTATTCAATTCAGACCGTACAAATTCAAATTAACTTTAATTTAAAGACTTTTATTTCAATTATTATTTATTTTATTTTAGCTTAAATTATCATACAGAACCTTTCACAAAATAATGCTTTTTAAAATTACTTTTTTTAAAATTTTTATTTCAAGAGCAAAAAATAGTCTGCAAGCTCAAATCTATTGAGTAAAAATATTTACATGTTTTTTGCAACACACTATTATAGTAACACTGTAAATAAAAATTATGCTACTCTTTACTGTTTAGTTTCTGAATTCATAACAACATATACCAATTGCATAAGGAGGGAGGGGAACTTATTTTAAACTTCTTTTCATAAGCTAATGATATTTTAAAGAAAGCAACTTAAGAAATGAAGAAATCATTGCTAAGTTGATTTACTTAGAATAATTGAATAAATTCAGTTCCAAAATTTAATACACACAGTATGTATATGTAATGAATATAATCAAAGTGATAAATCACAAAGTTTTGTATAAAGGCTAAACTTTTCATAAGTATATGAGGAAAAAAAGGAAAAAGGGGGAAAAAAAAAGATACTCAGTACTACAATTTAACTGAATTAGATATAATTTGTCACTCACATTCACTTCGGTACAATTTATTACATTGTAGAGTATTCTAATTGTAAATTTTGATTACAGAATTTTTTTACAGGGTTGAGGAAATAAGTATAGACGTTATATCTATGAACTGATCATACTTTGAAGATAGAAAAAACATACCTTCCTCCCATGGATAAATCAGATAAGCAAAATAAATGCAAACAGCAGACAAAATGCGTTTTCATGGTCAGAGATAGAAGAGAAAATAATCATAAGAAAACAGAATTTTCTTCAGAAAATGCAGTCCTTTTTCAGCTTAAGAACCATTTTTATGATTCATTTAGAATACTCATTCAAAGATATATCTATTTTAAAAAAACTGAAGGCACTTTTTCCAAGCTAAATTGTTATGAAGCCTAACAATTTAGCTTCATTTTGATTGTTGATTGTTATGAATTGTTATGAAGTTTGCAAGCTTAGATCCATCCACATTTTATATTAAACAAAATCTAATGAAATCTAAAACATTGAATAAAAAAATATGCATTTATCTCTATGCTGTATAAATTTATTGTGTTTAATTTAATTTGGAGGTCTGGAAGGTAATTCAAAGTACATTTATATGTTCCAGTTTCTTGAACCAATAAATTTGGGTAAACAATTTTCAATATAACATAGCATTTCCTAAATAGCTTCACTGGAGAAATAAAATACACCATCAAATAAATATGCACACTGTTTCCAATAAATTGGATCAAGTTTGATTAGAAAAAAGAAGCATCAAACAATCATCAAAAATAATTGCAGCTATGCTCAAATTTCCCAGGGATTTCAAAAAGTGGATAGTTCATATCTATATACATCACTTTCCACAGCTTTCGGCAAGAAAAAGAAGTTTTCTATTGAAATATCATATTCAAATCAAAAACCAAACCCATTTACTTGTTTTGTACAATAGCAATGAAAATACTGAAAGGATGAGAATGTATTTTATGTTACAGTTCTAATTCTTTGGTATCAACAGAATTAACAGTAGTCAAGCAGTATTGGAAAAACAGGATAAATTTGAGGGATCACGAACTTAAGTCTGATTTTATAAACAGAAACAAGAAAATAAACCACAAAAATTAGTGAAACGGTTTTATTAAAAATAAAGTATGGTTAAAAAATAATAAAGATGCTATCTGCTGGGTTCTTCTACTTTCTGCTTATCTAAGACTTAAAAATATACAAATAAAAAAAACCTGAAAGCATTCAGATTTTATACTATGCCCAAATAGATTCTTCAGTATTTAATTTCTTTAAATATAATGCAAGGCTCTAATATTTGATGGCTGCAATTTGAAAAGTTAAACACCATTTTATAAAACACGATGCAAAATGGCATTTTTTTTAACATTTTGTGTGTTACCTTTATTTATTAAGTATCATGTTCTTTGCACTTAAACCATAAAATTCTATTCAACAGCAATATCATAAAAAAATTTAAAGAGTGTATATCTTTAGAATTTCTGATACGCAGTCTCGTGCCCTGGAGATAAAAATGTTCTTTTTTCGTGTACAGTGTTGCCATTGCTAGCTTTGAAATCGTTGAGTTTGTTAATAAAAAATTCGTTAAAGTTATACAAAATATAAAACAGATAATAAAACAAATTCCATATTCGAAATTTGGGTTTCCACATGCATTCCGAATATTCCAATTTGGGTTTCCTGTATTAGAATGGAAGACATTATTCAAAATTTAATATCTCTAGCTAAGATTATTTTTTCACAATACGAGAAACATACCTACATTCCTGCAGATTCTTCAGTATTTAATTTCTTTAAATATAATGCAAGGCTCTAATATTTGATGGCTGCAATTTGAAAAGTTAAACACCATTTTATAAAACACGATGCAAAATGTCAAGACAAAATTAATAGCCTTTCTGGGCAAATCGCCCCTTTGGGCTAAAACATATATGATAATTGATACAATAATAAGATGACCTCATGAACTATTTAAAAAGAAATAAACTTCTAAATTAGGAAAGAAAAAAAGCTGAGACAGACTATCAATCACTAGGTCCACGATTAAATACATTCATTTTCCCCTAAATATTTAATGGCTTCAGAAATTCTCAAAATTGATACTCCCCCCTCCAGTTTTTACAGTAGATTTAAATAACAATTCCAATTAGAGCTTCAAACTGCATGAAATCATTATTTACTTATAAACTGAAAATATGCACAAGGGCAAAATGTAAACAAATCATTATCACAATTACTATTTAGCCCAAAACATGCAAAGAGGTGATTTTTTTAAATTTATAATTAATTTCATTAACTGAAATGTTATCACTAGAAAAAATTTAGTGGGAAGCATTACATACACACACACAAATACATGCATACATATAAGTTTTTTAAGATGCAATTTTAAGCTGCATGAAAGAACTTTTACAAGAAATCAAATACATTATAAAATAATCAGAAATAAAATTTTTAAAGTGATTACGGTAAGGAAACTTTTTCATGTAGTTTTATAGATTTATCTTAAAAATCTAGCATACATATTTCAGAGTTAGATGTAAATAGAAAACAAAATGTTCTAAAAAAGTATTCAAATTACAACAATCAAACATTATTTTACCATATAGTCATTTAAAAAGTAACATTATTCCTTACTGTGATGCAAAACATATATGGTACGAATTAACAAAAAGAGCTATCTGTAAACAGTCATATATAGTAACATTGCTACAATGGACATAATTATAAAATCAAATGTTGAAATTTCATTCAAATTCTTAAAAGTATCACATCAAATATTGTATTAGTTATAAAATATCTAGTTCAAAAAGTATCTAGTTCAAAAATTAAAAATGGGAGAATATAATGGTACAGATAAAATTACTTTGATTTCTAGTATTAGACAAATTTCAGTGCAATTATATGCACTTAAATTTAAATTAAAATTAAGAATAGAAAACTTGTCATGAGATAAAATAGAATGAGAAGATCTTAAAAAAATAATTAGAAAAAATAATTTTAAAATCATGGAAAATTTTTTTAAATATGTAAATTTCACAGTCTCTCCTCATTAAAGCAAATTTCACAAGGTAAATGTATAAGAAATCATTTAATTT